TTGGTTTTTTAAGACTGGAAATTGAAACAAGGAATTTCACACTGAGCTACACCCCCAGTGTTTTTAATTTTTTTTTTTTTTAAATTTGAGACAAGGCCTCATGGAATTCCTACATTGCCCAGACTGTGCAGGAAATTACAACCCTTCAGCCTCATCCCCAGAGCACCCACTGCACCCAGCACCAAGGTTTCCTTATCTCAAGCACTCTCACTCACCAAAGACCAATGGACACAGAGCTGAGAGGCAAGCTTTTGCTAGCAGTGCATAATCAGAAGAGGCTTTTGATTCTTGTCCAAAGCAGGGTTTCAGGAAAAGGAAGGCCAGATTGGAGCATCTATTAGGCTACATAGATTACAATGTTCATGCATTTTAAAGAATGTAAAACATTTAAAGGCAAAAAAATAAAAGTTATCTGGTTAACTTATGGATAATTAGAAGTGTAATGAAGCACACTGGCCGAGTTTCCCATAAATTCTCTTAATCAAGAATTTACAGTTTTATTTCTATGGAAGTTCACTCGGCCTCTACATCCCATACATCTCTACACTTTCAGCTATTCTGGGAGATCTTTTTTGTCTGCACTGATTTCCCTCCCATTTTCCTGGCCTTTTCCCTCTGAAGGGGTCAAGTTCTTCATTACAACCGTCTATCATGGAAAAGACTGACTTCACAGAGGACACCAATTTCAAAAAAGACTGTCATCATCTTTTAAACAATTAAACATGACGGTGATGATAACGGTGAATAGTTAGTAAATAGGAGAGTTTCCTGGATTTTAGACATATACTGTCTCATGATCACACTAATTGGGAAATCCAACTTCCAAGTTGGATTTGATATAACAAAGCACTAATTTACAAGTGAGGTGTACCCAGTGCAGGCTTCAAACATCCAAATGCTCTGTACCTCTGGAGACATTCAGCATTCACTGGGATACAATTTGCTTTTGGTTGTAAGAACAGATTCTTCAAACCACACAAGGTTTGCATGAGCTCAGTCAGAAGGACATATCAGTAAACTGAGCAGAGACAGGCAGAGGTAACAGGAAAACGCCCTTCAGCATTAGCTCCAAAAACTGAGGTTCCTGGGTATACAGGATTATTTTTCTCTCATGTCATATGTCCATTACCTATCAGTTGTCACCGGCTTCATGTCATCTTCATTCTGGAACACTGGCTAAAAGAAAAGTTCTGATCTTGAACACAGTCACGTTTTATGCCAGATAGAAAAGAAAATGAGGTAGAGTCCTGCAAAAGTTTTTAGCATGTTTACTCTGAAGTGACAGTGACACGGGCCACACCCGCTTATATTCCTCTGCCCACACAAGCTGCAGAACAAAATGAGGAGGCAGCAAATATTTTGAACAGCAGTGTGATACTGGAAAAGCATGAGTGGTGGGAGGGTTTGCAAAAGCCTAATCAAAGCATAAGGCCTGGAGTAAAAATACACCAAGGTTTATCTTCATTCCTCTGAGTCTTCACGTGTGCATTTGTAAAACTGGGCATTAATGACCCAATGCTGCCAATTTCTTCAGAGATGTATTTAACCATCAGAAAGTACACCATGTAAAAGGTATCTGAAAAATTCACAACACTCTGCAGGTAGAGGTCTTAGCATTCGAGGCTACTCGTCTTACTGAATATACATGGCAGAGTCTAGAGTGAGAGGATATCACAATATTCTTATTGATCAAAATAACTTCTTACTGCAGGAAGACACAGTTTACAAGACTATATATTCAGACTCCAAATTCAAGAAGAAAGACCACCAATAGGACCCAGTTGCTGTACTTTCCCTGGAGGTTACTTCTAATCTAAAATAATGGGTAAGAGGCTGTTTAAGACCAGGTGGTTGAAAACGTCATCACACAGAGAAAATGCTTCTGCTTATCACATTCCTAAAATACTGAAATCCAACTAAGATCATCTTCAAAATAGGGGCAGTTGCAGCTGGAATTGCAAGGGTAAAAAGAAGCAATCTCCTGTGAATTGTATCATCGCCGATAAAAGGTCTTATTATTTCTCATTGATTGGCCAGGAGCTCCACTAGCTCCTCTCCAGCAGTTTCTACAATAATCTCTGCGGAGCAGGAGCCCTTAATACACCACAGCTCTGCAACTACCCTAGGAAGTTAAGAAAGTTGAAAGCCCATTTGCTTCTTCTTGCACGAACAGCCCAAATACACTTTTCAAGATAGCCTGGACAAGGCGGGCAAGTTTTGTTTTAATTTGCAAGCCAGTCTTGTTCATTGGGGTTTAATAACATGGGCCATTTTCGCTCCATTCACACAGGGTAAAAAGTAGCTTGTATGAAGCAGTTTCTGAATTATCTAGTTCTCTCTAGGTTAGGATGAGCCAGTAAGACCAGGCTTCAGTACGTACTTCTAAACTTGTCTGACAGATTACTCCAGTGGACATTTCTTAAAACAGAGCTAGGAAAATGGTCACAAATTCACTTTAACCATTAAAAATGTAAGGTAATACTACTTCCTCCCCCAAAAGCCACTCCTAACCTTTTCTGTTGCTGCCTCCTTATTTGGTTCATACAAAGGCCAAAGATCACTTGGTATCAAAAAAGACAAACTACTCCAAGAGCTCTGCAGCATGATGAGTTAGCTGAAGCCAGTAGTGGTCATTTCCTTCCTTTTCCCCAACACTGGTCTAACAGTGCAGTGAACATGGGGATTTAATCCAGATCTGAAAACTAAGACAGGCCAAGCTTTCTGTGCATGGTAGAGGTGGGGCTGGGGAGCCTCTCTCACCAGAAAACTCTTGCAACATAAACACAGAACTCCACGTAGAGAGATTTATGCTTCCCACTCCTTCCTTCCTTGCTTGCTTGGATGCTGCTAGGTCTCACACAACTGTGACTACAGCAGCCACCATGCAATCAGGGGACATGCTCCAAATGGTGGGCTAAAGGAGGAGGCATCTGTTCCCACTGGCAAGGCTGACTCCATTTTGTTCTCAGGGCCACTTCCCCTGGGTTTCAACCTTGCTTTCCTCTCTGAGCTCTGAACACTAGATGATCCCAGTCATTCAGCCATTTCTCCTTAGGGGCCTACCATGAACAAGTGTACTAGGAATTGTGGAAAGTCTCCAAGAAAATGGAGAGATGACTGGTGCCCACGCCCATCACCATTACCCAAGGAAGCACCAAGATCCACATTGCCCAAGGCCCAGTGAAGATGCTGAGCTAAGTGGGAGCTTGTGCAAGAAGAGTGACTCAGACCTAAGACCACTCAGCACCATATCACAAGGGCTCCCGCAATGGCAGGTTTAATGTCACAGGGGGCTGCTCTTAGAGCTAAGTCCAAGGGGGAAAAGGGATGGCATGGAGGAGGACAGAAGCAAAGAGAATTAGGGTCAGCAATTCTCTCCCCCATTCTTCCAGGTCTCCCTAGTCAGGAGGGCCAGGAATGGGGGTGCACTGAATCCACAGGACAACTAAAAGGGCTGCCAGTGTTCATGGAAGCAAGATCCAAATTATTTCCAGCTTCTTGATATCAGTATTGTAATTGTTCAGAATCCATCTCTACAAAAAGAAGACAGCAGGAAAGTAAGCTTTTTAATTTATAGGACCTTGCCTTGGTACCATTTTTTCCATTGTGAGAAGAAGACAGACTGCTTATAATTTAATTTTTCTTTTAATGACTTAAATTTTCTGCTAGAAAACTGTATAAGGTAAAATTTTATAAATAGACTTTAATGTGAAGTATTCAAACTTGTAATCCACTTCCCCAAATTAACAAATCAGTAACATGATACTAAAGGTAGATAAAAATGTTCATGGTCAAAGAGCAGCTCCATTCTCTAATCAACTTCAAATCTAGAAAGTAAGCAAAAGAATAAAAGGGTAATGGAAGGAAAAGAAAAAAATGTTAGAGTACTGCTAATTAAAAAGGAAGTATAAATTAACAGGCATTCTTGAAGTTATGACACCAACAACTACCAACCCTGGAAGCAAATAGATACATTTCCTCTACAACTGCTAGTCTTTAGCCAAACCCAAAAAGTTAACCGAGGAGAAAGGATATAGAAGTGAAGAAGGGAAAGGAGTTTACTTACTCTTACCGGCAGAGATCACTGCTATCCTTACCTTGAGAACTCTCAATACCAACTTCAGAATCAAATACTTGTGGAGCAGTGGCCAGATTTACACCACTTACTTAACTCAAGAGAGCTACCTCCCCAATTACCAGATCACCATGGCTTAGTATTTAATTAGTGACAGTAAAAGGAATGACCGCAATGATAGGAACTGGGACAGGAAGTGTCCAGTCATCCCCTTGCCTGGTAGAAGTTCTCTAATCTGACAGGGGAGAGCCAGAGGGCACCTCAGGAAAGGGTGGGCTCAGGTATTGCAGCAGCACCCCTGCACAGGAAGAGCTAAGCCACACCTCTGCCATATTAAAGGAACAGGACACACGGCGCCCACCACCAAGCTGAGTTTAGAAAGAACTGTTCACATGCGACAGAGGAGTTGCTCTGCCCTGCAGAGTAGAAAACAGCATCATAGAAACCAGTGTAATGGTCTCAGCTCAGGAGCCAAACTCATGACTGCTATCACTGTGATTCTTATAGATCCGTAATAGGCAGTACATGAATCAATCATTAAGAAATCCAGCTGAAAAAACCCCCACCTTGACACCTGAAAAAGATGATCTCTGGGGTTAAACAAATGCCAAACGCTATCGGAAGAGAATCCAGCACACAGTACATAACTGAAGTTGGAGATTACAGTCTCCTCAAAATTGAAAGTGGAACCCATGTGTTAGGATCATTCTGGTCAGAAGACACAGTGCAACATAGGATGTGCTGAGTCCCTGCATTCCTCTCCAGCTTCCAGGACCTTGTTCTCTCAGGTGAGAAAGCCCGGATAAAGCCAGAGAGCAGAGCACCTGGAGTAATGTAGGGTGTTTGTAAGAGCCCCCAGGAACAGAGGCCAGTGATGGCTGTCAGTCTTTACCCCATCTCTCAGGAGCCTGTTCCTCCTCCTCACCTTCACAGTAGGCGGGGTCTCCTTGGACAGAGATGTAACCACTCTTGCACTCACAAGTCACTTTCATATTCCAGGTTTTGCACTCTGAGTTTTCACCACATTTAAGTGCTTCCACGCAGAAGTTATGACCTGTAAGACGCACACAAAATTTTACATCAGGAAAGGAGGAAATAGAAGACCTCCAGATAAAAAAACACAAAACACAAAACATTTGTCACTACCTGTCACAGTGCATGAACACACAGGTTAGCAGTGTGCAAAGCTGGGGTGGGTAAAGATGGAAAAGAGAGACAGGACACTTTAGACCGCCTCATGGCTTAAGGGTTCTTTTTCCTGGATACTCAGACTGCTAAGGTTGTTCCTACCAGAAGGCTGTTACCTATGTGGCTCCCAAATCCTTTTCCTATTACCTTCTTACATAATTAATCTTTATAACTGTTTTCACATAAAAGTTACAATACACACAAAAGATACAAATATATAAAATAAAATGACAATATTATCAGTAACACTTCATTATATCCATCCAATGAATCCTTCTCCACCAGAGATAAGCATTGGATTTTGTGTTGATTTCTCCCTTTCACATATCTATTATTTAGCCATACACAAGTGCTTGTCCTCAAACAAATATCACTTAGCTTTGAACATTTTAATGTCCACAGAAATAAAACTATATTGTGCCAGTCTATATGGTGTACTTTGTTCTATTCATCCATCAATGATTAAAGGAATCAGTTGTCAACGTTGTAAACTATTCCATAGTATGCAGATTCCACAATTTATTTTGAGTTATTTTCACATTTTGAATTATAAACAAGATTGCTACAGACATAGTTAAATATATTTCCAGGGGAATCTTTTTAAAGCGCATATTTAACTTTTTTTTGCTCAATATTCCTTGCAGAATTCCTGCCATTCCCTTAAGAATAATTCTTTTTCTTCCTAAGTATTCCTTAGAAGGTTCCTTTAGTGTAGATTTTTTAACAGTTACTGTACTAAATTTTAATTCATCTAAATATTTCCATAGACTATCCTCATACTTTAAAAGGTTTTACTGCATATAGTTTTTCTATCTCAACATTTATTGACAACTCAATATTTAAGACATTATTTCATTCCTTATAATTTCTTTTGATCATTAATGAGTATTCAATTGCCAGTCTAATTCCTTGATGTGTAGCTACCTCTTTTCTTTCTGTGTACTTTAAAGATCAAGTTTTTGTTTGTTTGGTTGCTTGGTTGCTTGACTGGTTGGTTTGGTTGGCTGGTTGGTTCACTGGTTAGTTCTTTGTTAGATTGGTTGGTTAGTTGTTGGACTGGTTGATTGGTTGACTGATTTAGTTTGTATTCTTTAGTTTTATTTTAAGGGCTATACTTGTTCATTTATTTTTATTTAGGGTTTCTTGGAATTCTTGAGACTTAGTGTTGAGGAACTCTTTTGTCATTTAAGAAAATTGTCAAATATTCTTTCTTCAAACATAGTCTCTGTGAGTGCTTCTTCCTGATGCTTAGATTTGCTTTCATATAATACACATATTTTCCTCTCTAGGCTGAACTTTGTGACTTCTAGATATGTCTTTCAGTTATTATTTCTGTCTTGAGCTCGGCCACATTCTGTTTTAGTCACTGATATTGGTGGAATTTTCACTTACTATATTTTCATTTTCTAGATTGCTGTTTAATTCTTTTTTAACCTGTTTGAACTAATTTGATAGTCCTTTATTCTTTCATCTTTTAAGTGTACTAGATTTTATTTCTTTTAAACACTTTACACATGCATATTTTACATGAATAATTCCAATATTTTCAATTTTGAATACACATAATCTTTTAGTTGTTTATGCTAAGTGTCACACAAGATGCTTTTATGTTTTGAGTAATTCTTTTTTTTACAAGTAATACAAAATTTAAAAAATAAACAGTAAGAAATCACTAGTTAATAGATTACATATGCTCATCTTAGAAATAGTTGTTCAAGTTACATTACTGAAGCATATAAAGTGGACTTTCAAACAGTGAGAATGTAAACAGTTTTGTTCAATGATCCAAAAAACACTCAGTAATATGGTTATCTATCTTATACACTTAAACATATATGCAGTTATAACCTTTAGAGCACTTTCTTTTCTTTTGTACAACGACAATTACACATGTTGGGTTTTACTACTCCCACAGTTCTTATTACTTCTTTTGAAGAGAGTAAAACCAAAGGCGAGATATCAGAACACAGTCAGTCAAATCAAAAGGATAGACATAATAGATAATGTAAAAACAAAATATAAGGTGATCAACAATGGTTACCATACTGCCTCTTGCTATTTTAAGAAGAATTGGCAGTTATAATAGAATTGAACTAAATAGTAAAGAATAAAACCAAAGCATTGGAGACATAACAGGATTTTAAAAGAAATAATAGTCAACTGGAATGGGCGTCATAATGATTCTTATTGTCTTCACAGTTATACCTATACTTTCAAACTTGGTACTATCAAGCAAAGCAGAATAGAGGAAAATAAGTCAAAACAAGAAGGTGAGGGCAATACAGGATTTCAAATCAAGTTAATAGGAAATCAAAGTAGGTTACTATAATGTATCCTCCTATTTTTATCTAATTTGCCTTTAATTAAAAAAATAAAAAGAAAAAAGTAAATAATTCAAAAAAAGGAGACTGAGATAAAAGAGGGCATAACAACAGAACAGCGAAGGTCAAATCATAACCATTTGAGCAAAATAGTGTTTCACTACAAGATATCCTGACATAAAAATAGTTACCATAGTGTCTCTTTCCTTGAAATTTTTAGTATAAACTTGATATACTGTAGCACCAAACATATCAAGACATTATAAAACCATTCAAGAGAATGACATTATTACAGCATATTTAGGACCAATTAACAGAAAATGAACAATAGTTTCTATATAAACTCCTTGTCTATAAAAGTTTTTGCTTATATTATCATATATAATAAAATCCAATAAGATACAACCTTTTAAGACCAATGGAGACAGAAGAACACAAGTTTGATGGGACTTCATAACAAGATGATACTAAATCAGCACTACCTATTATGATGTCTTGTTTTCTCCAAAATAGCTGTTCCTACCTTCCGATCTTCTCTGCCTCATTTCTGTTGAGCTCTTTTTCTGTCATTTGTTGTCAGTTTGTCTTCTTCATTTTGTTTTCTGCTCCATTCATTGTGGCCTCTCTGCCACTATTTCTGGAATCTTGGTATTTTCCTTTTTTAGACTATCCTGCAGTATTCTCTCTAGAGTTGAATTAGTAGTTGGAAATTCCCCTAGTTTTTCTTTATCCTGGAAGCACCTTGTTTTTCCATCAATTTCTAGGGACAGTTGTTCAGGATATATCAGTCTTGGCTGGAGGTTATTATCTTTCAAAGCCTGAATTATTTCCCCCCACGCTCTTCATGATTTGATGGTTTGTGCCAAGAAGTCTGCTGTAATTCTGATGGGTGTTCCCTTGTAAGTGATCTGTTTCTTGTCTCTGATGGCTTTTAATATTCTGTTCTTAAATTAGATTTCTGGAATTTTGATTATTATATGCCTGGGTGTAGCTCTGTTTGGGTTGTAGGTGGCTGGAGTCCTGTATGCCTCATATATCTGAGTATCTTTACCATTTGCTAAATTAGGGAAATTCTCTGGGATTATTTCTGTGGATAGCTTTTGTAGTCCATTTGTTTGTGTCCCCACTTCTTCTCTTATGTTCCTAATTCTTAAGTTATAGATCCTCTTATCATCTTCTAGTTTTTGTATTGTTGATGTTTGTTTTTTTGTTTTTTTAAGAAGTTTCTCATTTCATGCTCCCATATTACAAATCTGCCCTCCAGTTCAGATAATCTATCCTTAGTATCTTTCAAGCTGTTATGCCAGTTTTCGATTGAGTTTTTAGTTTCCTGGTAATCTCTTTGAATCTGTTTCACATATTCTATGTTTTCTCTCTTTTCTCCATCAAACAATTCTCCCTTTTTTTTCTGTTCTTCCATTCCACCATCTGTTTTCTTTTAGGTGGTGCTTAGCATTTCTCTAACAATTCTGCTTATGTCTTGCTTCAGGTCATTAATAACTTCATTCCTGAACTCGTCTATGAGACTCTGGTGATAGTGCTTTATGTCTATTGGTGCTGTGTCTGCTATTGCATGTTTCTCAGGATTGGGGGCTGAGGACCCTCTCTTGTTGCGCCCTCTTCCCATATTCTTTGTTCCTTATATATAAGCATATATAGGAGGCCCAGCTTCTTCCCCTGTAGGCCACAGTCTGTTTGAATTGTGCTGGCTAGGTGTTGCTGCCCACCGCAGCGCACCAGGGAGACACAGACTTGGGCAGTCTATGCCGGGCCCGCCCCTCCAGGTCAACCTACTGAAGGCTTCATCACTAGGGTGCACCTCCAGGTGCTGGGACCTGGGTTGGACTAAACTACTGAATATCAGCCAGTGGTGTCTTGCAGGCCAGGAACTCCCCACCAATTCTGCTTGAGAGGGGGATATGTGACTGAAGTCACTATAGCATCTCGTTCAGGGAAGACTGCCTGGTCTGAATGTGTCCTCTGCTGAAGCCTCCTTTTTTTTTTATTTATTTTTTATTTTTTTTTTATTTTATTTAAGGAGAAAAGAAAAAAAAAAGCAGAGAAAGGGTACAAGTTATACAGATTTGCAGAAAAAAAATGAACAGCAGGAAATCACTAGTTAATGGATTACATATTGTCATCTTAGAAATAATTATTCAAGTCACAAAATTAAAGCTTGTAAAGTGGACATTCCATCAATGATACGGCAAACAGTTCTGTTCAATGATCCAATAAAACTCTGTGATATCATATTCTATCTTATACACTTAAATAAACATGCAGTTATATAGTTTAGAACACTTTCTTTTCCTCTCTTTTGTACAATGACTATTACACATTTTGGGTTTCATTGCTCTCATGGTTCTTATTACTTTTTTGGAAGAGAGTAAAACCAAATGTGACATAACAGAACAGAATCGGTCAAGTCAAAAGGGTGGACATAATAGATAATGTGAAAACATAATACAAGGTGATCAACAATGGTTACCATAATGCCTCCCGCTATCTCTAATAGAATTGCCTATACCATTAGTTATAATACAAT